AATTAATTAAATTCGGTGTACTACTTATCTATAGTGATATTAATAGCCACTATTTTAATAACGATTCAAGGACCATCAACAGAAATTGAGTTTGTTTTAAGACCAGAGGCCGCGCGAAGATCCTAAGATTGGGGGGGGGGGGGTGTAACGAATTTTGAGGAGGTGTAAAGGGGCTATTTGCAATAAAATTTCACAAAATAAGCCCAACACGTACAAAAAATCTACTCTTGTCGCTGGAAAAAATTGAAAATTTTCAATTATTGGGGGGGTGTACACTCCCCCACACCCCCCGCTTCCGCGGCCTCTGTTTAAGACTGTTACCAAATGCAACTGGTGACAGAAAAGTTGAAGAAATATATGATATTGACTTAGGTAACATTTCATCATCTTGTTCTCCTTCTTCTTTCGCTATCATATTTATAAATAACGCCACGTTTTGTATATTGACATAATCGAGACAATCAAAAAACGTGTTTCTTTGCTTTTTTCTTTTTTTTTCTTTTCAGAATATAATGATATCAAATGGTTGTGATATTGATGATGAAATATATATAGACGAGATATTAACAAATGAAGATATTCCTTCACTTGTTAAATATTTTAACAATCCAATATTACATGCTAATTTACTAACAATACCATATCCATATACAACAAAGGATGGTGAAGATTTTATTCAAAAAATAAAATCAAACTCATTAAATTTAACACGTATTTTTAGTATTCGTTTAAAGACAAATAATGAACTGATTGGTGGATGTGGTTTTCATCGTTCAATTAAAAATGAAAGACGAACAAAAATTGGATATTGGTTAGGTGAACCATATTGGCATCGTGGTTTAATGCCTAAAATTGTAAAAAAAGTAATTGAAATGATAAAACATGAGTGGAAAAATTTAGTTCGGATTGAAGCAGAAATATTTCCATGGAATAAGGCATCAATGCGAGTTGCACAAAAATGTGGTTTCCAATTTGAAGGAATATTACGCAAACATGCACATAAAAATGGGCAAGATATTGATCAACATTTATATGCATTGATTATTGAATGATTAAAATGAAATTCATTCATTTTATCATTATTGATTAATATTATTTTCCCTTTATATACGTTTTTTCTGTTCGTGAATTAATTTAAAGAAAAACTATTTTGTAAGTTCAACTCTATTTTAAATAGTATTTGATCTAATTGCAGATGATTTCGACGTTGCTTTATTTTGTATATCGTTAGAGAAAATCATAATCAATGGAAGAGATTGTCCATTAGTCTTTTTGTTATACAAAAAAGAACTAGCTAGAGGTTCGAAAGTAACTGTATAATTGATTAAAGTTAATGACAAGTCTAATAACAAAGGTGTAAGTGTTAATTTGCACTAAACTGACGCTCAACAACCACACACTTTTCAAACTAGGTAGTTTTGTGTAATATTCTTCATTTTTATAAAATCATAATGATACTAGAACTGCTTTTGAGAAAAATGAGATGACTGAATAATGCTGATCAATTCTACGGTTTT